GTGGCAGTCCATTGTTATTACATGTCATCATGTTCTTTTTGAACTCAGAAGATATGTGTTTCCCAGAAAGTGTGTCGCTGTATGAATCTACAACATAGAATTGGTCCACACATCGCCACACATTGTCAGCCCTAGTGAAATTCAGAGAAGCGGCGAGGCCATGCGTGAACATACTAAAGTTGTTTTCTTCACAAACTCACTAGCTCTCGCACCAAGCACAACATTTCACACTGACATTGACCAAAGCGGTCTTGGCTTTAGATGGTGCGTCATTCTATCTTCTAGCACAGCGCTATTTACGCGGAATGTTTTTGTCCAATATGCACAAAATGGTACAGCATTCTAACTTGTCCTCTAAAATCACCTACTTTATGAGTCACCTCGGGTGGTCCTAGTGGAAAAATTTTCCCCTGCGGTTTCCCAAAACGTCATTCTAACTTTCACCGCGGCAGTATATAGCATAGTGTTGGTGAAACCAGACGGCACAAGTGATCCCCGCAATTGTCCAAGGCATCGGATTAAAGTTAAAAACATCCGGTGGTCTAGCCTGTTCGTATCATCTGTATTCAGTGAATCGAAATCCTGAGTTTCAGGAGTCGGCCGGCCCAGCTGCGCTAAGACTTGTGACAAATCTACCAGCTAGCAGCCCACAAAAAAGGATTCCTTCGCTTTGAAGAAGAACCGGGGCAAGGGTGCTGAACCTGCAGAACATGCTTGGGGTTGTCCTAGGATCGCTCACGAAGGGGCCCCTCAAAACTGTCAAAGACAGCCGCTGTGCACTGATGCAGGTTTGAGTCGGAGCAGGTCTTGTCAAGAGATCCGTCGATATAGATTGATTGTGTCTGGTCATCAGAATCGTAGACGAAGGCTACATGCTGCCTCAAAGGTCAAAACAGAATGTAGGCTGCTTCGATGAAGCAGTGGATTAGATTAGCATGTTCGGCAATGCTCAACAAAAGGCATGTATATATAATGTCAAAACTCAAAACGATCTCAACTTGCCAAGACATGGGGCAACAGTGTTTCACAGCTGAGACACCATTCGTCTTTGGTGAGTACTCTGTCAGAATGGCACTCGTGTATGTAGTGGCCTCGCACTGCAGCACATCTCCGGGTATCCCTCCCTGCGGTTCCCTCCCTCCCTAGATCAACTATAATGATCGAAGCCAACATGTCTGTATGATCTAATAATATCCCTACCCCTAGTGAGGGGGCACGTGGGAAAATGCAAGTTCCTTCTTCCAACCCCCTTTCATGGAAAAATGTGAGTTACATTTAGGCACGTACCTGGTAGGTACCTTTAGGTAAGTACCAGGTCTGAAAAAACATTTATGACAAAATATGAAAAGTATTATATAGTGTTTAAAGGAAAGGAAAGGAATTGGACCAGCAAAGTTTTTGGTGTCTCCCCCCGTTGTCCGACGGGGGATCCAATGAAACTTCGACGCCTTCACCGTATCGAAAGTGTTAAGGGCCGCTACATCGGCCATGCAAACACCTTTCGAGACCTTCACAGTGTAGGGAACAAACATTTCCAATGAAGGAAGGTAGGTAAAGAAACTAGACCTTGAAGAAAAATAAAGCCATGGCTCTTGAAAGCAATCAAACACCCCGTTTTCGCAAAAACACAAAACTTACGCTGGCTCTGGGGGGGTTCCAGTCAGCATACCGTCACAAACAATGTCACAGCATAAGCGGTGTACAAAAACTATAACTTATAACTACATCATCTAAGAAATGTGAGATTAAAATTGCAGATGGGGGGCCTCCCTAAATGTAAGCTACGGAACATGTAGCTTACATTTTCCCACGTCCCCCCTGATTTTTGCAGAGATAGGAGGTGGGAATCTAAAAATGATTGTATGATGCTCACCACTGACTGTGCAAAGCAGCTGATGTAGAATCGCCCGTTCTTCAAAGCTATCTCGAAGCGAGTTCGGGCGAACTGCCCAGTGAGCGTTGATGTGGTTGTTGATGTCACTGTACTTGAGGCAGTAGTGGTTGTCACGACCGTTGTCGTGGCCGTGAAGCTTGTTGTCGATGTTGAGCTCACAGAGGTGGTGCTTGTGCCTGTGGCTGTCACGGAGAAAGTAGTTGATGTCGACGAGGTTGCCGATGTACTGGTCAATGACGTTGCAGTAGATGTAACTGAAGTTGATGTCCTGGGAACATGAAGGTGAACCACAGGTGAACCCATTGATTCCCCAAACAGTTTACTGTTGGGGTTCTATCTTGGAGAGAAAAGAGCTGGCCACACTCACTGGCCGCACCCCTGAACTCTGTGGCTGGGCTCTGTGGCTGGGCCTTGTCCTCCTCTTATCCTCCTCTTGGCCGCGCCCCTGAACTCTGTCAACTCTGTGGCTGCGCTCTGTGGCTGGGCCTTGTCTCTTGTCCTCCTCTTGGCCGCGCCCCTGAACTCTGTCAACTCTGTG